GTTTCTACCTATTGTTCTAAAGATGTATGCATTCAGGGAACACCCCGATCAATTATGGAACAAGAGTTAACCCTTTCAAAACTATAGACCATAATGAACTTATCCAGATCAATGCATGGTATACTAGTAGTTTATTAAAGTTACATAGGGGTGAAAGGGTCAATTATGAAATTGCATCACATCACCAAAAACATATTTTTTTTCCGAAATCAAAACATACTTGCATGTTCATTTGATGAAATTATATGATGAATCCAGCCACACATTATATGGTTCTGCAAACAGGATTTTGTTGTTATTTTCGAGGCCAACTTGATCAAAAGGCTGTTTGTGAGTTCATATTGATGGAGGAATTGAAGGACTGGTTTCCAGAACAAGCTAATCGTCTGTGGGAGAGCACAGTCCGCCATGTCCAAGTCTGTACAAATAACAATGCAGATAATTATAGTATCACGTATTACAATATAAGATCTACAGAACAGCAACAGGAAGTTGAGGAACAGATTTCTGCAAATATTTCCTTTTATCAACAAAATACTTGTATAAACTTTTTCATGATGTACCTGTAAATATCTTTTACATTTATTTCTGAAAATAAGGTACTGAAGGGGGATAATGGTGATTATCCAACTTTGGTGATTGTCCAAGCTCTCATGGTAATTCATTTTCCAATGAAGTTTGAAGCTAATCTATTAAAAATTACTCGAGATATTGAGCAGACACCATTTCAGCAATTGAATAAAAGGACATAACTCAATTAGTCAGACAAGAGTGGTTATCCAACTCAGAACTTTTATGGTAATGACCTTCCCATGGAGTTTGAAGTTGATCCATGGAAAGTAATTTTTGGTATAAAGCGAACACTGTTTCAGCAATTGAATAAAGAGGCCCAACTCCCTCCCTAAAAGACTGTGAGATAATGGTGGGTACCAAACTAGTCCAAGCTTCCATGCTAATTAACCTTCCCATGAAGTTTTAAGTTTATCTGTCACTCATGATATAGAGGGGACACTGTTTCAGCAAATGAACGGCATAACTTAGTAAATTAGTCGGATAATAGTGGTTATAAAATCATCCGAGCTCTTATTGCTATTAACCTTCCTTTTTGAAGTTTGAAGTTAATCCATTGAAAATTACTTAGATCCATATCGAGTGGGCACTGTTTGCAACCTGCCCACCCGCTCATGTGATAACATAATAAGTAAATTTGCGAAGGTGTTGGGATTCTGTCATAATTTTAATTGAAGTCACTCAATTTGCAATTGCTAAACAGTGACTTTATCCAAATAAAATGCATATCAAAATAGACTGCCACAGGATAGAGGTGATTTAATGTTAGAGTGGTTGATGAAATGGCCTTTGTTTGCAATTTCAATCTTCACCTGTATTTATCAGATTCTACTTACTGGACGAGTCAATCCTTAAGGCTAGCAGCTGTTCTTGGGTAGGAATTATAAAGCCGTCGTCTACCAGACAGGTCACTAACTCTTCTCTACACAATCAAACATAGCCAGTGATACATCTTACAGAACAGTATGTGACACAGAGGTTTCCAATATCATAACATACACGTCAATAACTCAATGACAAACATTTGACAGCCTGAGAGGGATGACACTTCAGAGCTTTGAGGATGATATACAGTACTAAGGCAGGAGTCAATACAAAATTATCACAACATATTTGATTTTTGTTTTATCACAAATGTCTGAGGACATGATTTACACTATCACACATTTTTTGAAAATGAAACCACTCATAATCAATGGATGAAAAAACATCATTTTCAGGATTACTTAGTGCATGTTAAATACTACAGACATTCCAAACACTCATTACATTCCAAGTAGCTTTAGTGAAGCAGAAGACCTCCGGACATATAACCCATCCATTTTCTTTAGAAACTTTTCCTAGTCCTTAACTATTTTATTGTAACAAACATTAGCACTAACATATAATACCTACCCATTTTCAAAGTGAACTCTTTCCAAGTCCTGTAGAATTTTACCAGATTTGTCTTTGGTTTTTTTCCCACTTATTTCCTAAAACAAAAAGCCAATTTATGTTCGCATATAATATCTCAATGTCAGGCATTATTTTGTGTCATATTACATACACCAATGTGGTAACAATGAAAAGTAACTCATTGGAGGTCATACCATTTGGTGGTTAATAAGATGTATCAGGAATACGATAAATCCTCTTTATCAAGGCCCTCATTTTATTAGCCAACTTACCACCAATATAAACCAAGGTTTTTCTGTCCATTTTCCTCAACAGTTCCTTTATACATGTCCCTCAATGCATCGCCAAACACTTTTATTTTAATACGATTACTGAACAAACATGGCAGCACAGTATAGTACTGTTTACTGTACTTGGTACACATCAACCAGTATGGCTTTGTTAACATATTTTATCATCAGCTATTCATGGCTATTTGGGGAACAGTCAAAACTACCATTCCTCGGTAG